TTTATTAAGTGGTCAAAACCAACAATTACCAAGTAGGTGTTTAAACTAGCAATTGCTCAATACTTTTACAGCGTAGAAAAGCTTGGGCACAATTATACCCAACTGATTACAATTCTTTCATTACAATTCACTTCTATCAAATCACTATCCCTAATTCGCCTAAGACAACGCAGCATACAAATAAAAAATACAAAAAACAAAGCCAAAATAATTATAATAAAAGAACCACCCACAGCCAATCCCTCCAATGTCACTTTAGGACAGCTGGTGGAGTTAGTCATTGATTTTTTACTGTTACAAGTTGACAACTCCTGGGTTTTTCTTCTAACACTTATACCTGGGCTAAAACTTAACCCTTTCACATAGCACAAAATCACACTATCTATACAATACAATTAATATGACTTACTTATACTTCACAGGATTATAGGATGTAATTAATACAGCTTAACTATTAACTAAACCACCAATTAATAATTTTAAGTAATACTTACAAATCCTGCAATGATAACACAAAGACACACTAGAACTCGGAGCATGCTCAGGACTCGTGCACCCCTATATTTGATTCGAAGGGTGGGGAGGCAGCCTCAGGGTGATCAATGCTTTAGCCGGGCCAAAAAAAAAAAAAAAAAAAAAAAGGACACGTGCCCTCAATACACGGAACCTCCGTCGGACAAAGGTGTAGAGGGTCTATACAAAAATTCGGTGTCTAATGCCATGCTAGGGTCTGCATTTGGCAGGGCCTGATAGGCTAGTGATGAGGTAGTATGACAATACTGCCCTATAGGAATTCTCGTGATGTATGCGTGATCCCCTCGTGGACAGGACCAGATGGGGCATAGTTAGTATGAGACAGTTGTGTTTTATTACCCTATGTTTACTTTTTCCCTTGCCCCTAAGACCAGTCAAGCTACGCTCAAATGAGGCTTATCTGTAAGTGCAGCTAGGCACTATCTAGTCATGCTCACCTCCCTATTTTATGATGCCTGTGAGTCTCAGGATGCCTGTAAGGTCAAATTCCATTCACAAAACCTGCATTGTGCGCTTACAAGTTATGCTTTCTCAAAGTGTGACAGAGGCCTACATTTTCTGTGAGCTGCTTTGTGCGGCTGGATGGGCTATATGCGAAGGCTGTGGTCAGAAGAAGCCTGCTTTCCAACAATTTTCTTCTAACATTTGAGAAAAGTCATTTGCATGGACAACATGCAGAGAGTCTGTATCAATATGTGTAACCATTCAGTCACTTAGTAATGGCAACCAATGTTAAAAATATTCTTTATTAAAGTAAAATTATAACATTGAGATCAAAATATCTAAAATCAAGCAAACAGGGCTTAAAGTATTGGTCCAGTGTACTCAGGGTCAAAAGACAGACTGAAATCCTGGTCCAGTTGAAATCAATGACAAAACACCCTTTGATGTCAATGTTAGGGTTTCACCCCCAGTTTCTATTCCTAGCTCTGTCACTGGTTTGCAGGGTGACCTTGGACAAATCTCTTAAACTCTGGCTCACTTTATCTCTGTTTTACAAATGGGAAATGACATTATCCTACTTATTAGAATGCTTTGAAATTTATGAAGTGTGCTGTACATAGGGTTGCCAGGTGTCTGGTACTGACCCGGACAGTCCGGTATTTTCGCCTCCTGTCCAGTAAAAAAATTCAGAAAATACCAGACACCTAAAATGTCCGGTACTTTCTGATTTTTTCCCGGCCAGAGGGCGAAAATACTGGACTGTCTGGGACAATACCAGACACCTGGCAGCCTTAAGCAATGGGGTCCAGCCCGACTGCCCACCCGCTTCCTCCCCCCTTAACTTGGTTCTGCAGGGGAGCTGTCTGGTCCGGAGCAGGGAGAGAAGGCAGAGATGGCTGCCTGCGTCGCAAACAGCTGCCTCTCAGAAAGTCATACCTAGGGTGAACTGAGCATGCTTAGTAGGAGCTGCTGTTGCAACACCTGTAGCCTGTTAAGAGTGGCAGAGCCAAGCCCCTGCTCTTAACGGGGCCATGCTTTTTTTATTTCTTTATTTTTTTCCTTAACTCAGAGTCCTTCCCCCCCCCAGAATTTTTTTCCCTGGTTTTTTTTTGGGGGGGGGGCGGGGGGAGTAGACAGATACTGTCGACAAAGAGCGCCTAGACTACATCCAGTTCTGTCGACAAAGCAAGCTGCTTTGTCAACATGACAGTATAGATGCAAAGGACAGTGTAGATGCAATAATGCCTTCTGTCAACAGAACTGTCGACAAAAGGTGTTATTCCTTGTAGAATGAGGTTAACAGCCATCAACAAAACTGCTGAGTTCTGTCGACATGTCGATAGAACTCAACAGTAGTGTAGACGCAGGTATAGTTTTGTCAACAAAAGACCACTTTTGTCGACAAAACCCTGTAGTCTAGACACACCCAGGGTATGTCTACACTACAGCACTAATTCGAACTAAGCTAATTCGAATTAATGCATCTAGACTTAAAAACTAGTTTGAATTAGTGTTTTGCTGATTCGAACTAGCATGTCCACACTGAGTGGACCCTGAACTGAGGTGCCGGCCGAGGGCGGGGAAGTAGGGGCAGGTGGCAGCCCCTGCTGCGGCACCGCCCCTGGTGGCTCTGGCGTACCCCTGCCACAGTTGCTTTATTTTCAGGCGCACCTGCTCCTGGGTGCACCTGTGTCCCTTTCGGGCCATGGCGGCCGCTATGCGCCCGTAGACAGCCGCATTCCTCCTCCTAGTGCG